TCGCACAAGCGTGATGGCCAATAAAAATTGAATGTTACATAAATTAAAAATTTCGATAATAAAATAAATACAAAAAAAAAAAAAAATTAAATAAACAAATAAAGTAACAAATATAAATCAATTTCATCTAAAGTTATGGACAATTATTGCTTTAATTAAACATAATTAAAAGTTAATCTATACATTAAAAATATCTACAGAATAATCACGTTCAGAATTAAACGTTAACCTTTGAAACTAACAAATCAAGTCCAGGTAAAGGTTTATTAATACCCAAATATCTCTTTTTAAAAGTGTATCCTTCAACTTCTTTAAATTCAAAATTCCTAATTAATGTTGCCAGAATAACTTTAAATTCCATAAGTGCAAATTTCATTCCAATACAATTTCTTGGGCCATTTGTAAAAGGTAAAAATATTGAATTTGATATTTTAGATTTCATTTCCGGATCATGCCATCGAGATGGGTCGAATTGGCTTGCATTTTCACCCCAGTTAAAGGTATTATGATGAATTCCACAGATAGAAATCATAAGTAAAGTTCCCTATTGGTTTAATTTTAGTTAATTTTAAATGTAATGTCTAATAAATTTCATTACAATTTTATGAAAGATATTTATATTTACCTTTGGAACAAAATATCCATTCATTGTTTCATCTTTTGTTGTTCTTCGAGTGATTGCTGGTACTTTAGAATTCATAAATTTTCAATGTTAGATAATTCAAAACAAAAAATAAATTATACTAAATTAATTGTGTGTCATTTATCTACCTGGTGGAATGACCCTAAATACTTCTTTAATAACACTGTCTAAATATTTTAAGGATTCAAATTCTTCAAAAGTTGGTTGGTAATTGCGATCAGGAAATGCATCAATTAATTCTTCACGAAGACGATTTTGAATATCTAGATGTTTTGCAAGAAGAAGTAATGCCCAAGTTGATGCTGTACTTGTGGTCTCATGTCCTGCAACGAGAAATGTCATAACCTATAATTCATAAAAATTTTATATTTTTTAGTAATAGGTCACTCATTTTCATTTATACTTTTCATTCATATAATACTTACTTGACCTCTCAATTCTTCATGCGTTAACTTTTCTGCATCTGGTAATTTATCATTGAATCCCACTAAAACTGATAACAAATCTTGTTCATCGAGTTTACCTTGTGCAAGTTTATTTTTTCGTTCTATGACTATTTTATCTGAATATTCTTTAACCACTTTAAGTGAATTTTGAAATCTAATATTATATTCAAATGGAAGTTTTGCAATAAATGGAATGAATGTTGACATGGTCATAAGAGCAAGACTTGAAGGCGTTTGTAAACCGGTGATTGTTTCGTATGCTTGTGCAAGTTCTGATTGGGTAGTGGTTGAATCGAATTCATATCCAAATCCTATTAAAATATTTATTTATAAATTAATTTATTTATTTGTAATAAAACGATTTGTATTACTATACTATAAGGATTAATTATTACCAGCTAGACCAATTATATCCAATGTTATTTTTGGAAGTAATGATGTGACTGTAATTATTTCTTCTTTTTTATCACCAATTTGTTTCAACCAGTAATTTTTCAATTTATTAACAGTTCGAACAACTATTGGAACCGTCCCCTTTAAAAAAATTTATTATTAAAATTTTTTTTATAAACTACAATTAAAATTGTAATCATTGACATTTTTGAATACATACCTTGATACTAGTAAATGAAAATGCGGGATTTATTATTCTTCTCTGATGCTTATGAACATCGCCTTCAACAGTTAATATACTATTTATTCCAAGCATGTCTAGAGTTTGAGGCCTTTCGGTAGTTGTCCTTGCATAATCATATGCGCGATTCACCAGTATATTGTGTGCAAGCTTGTGATCGCTAATTAAAACTTGTGGGCTATTAAAGTACGAGCGAAAGAGAACCACTCCTCTTTTGCCGTATTGTCTTTCTAAATAAAGAAGATATTCATCTGGCTAAAAATGATAAATTAAAAATTAGATCGCAGATGAAGTAGGTGATCAAACGAAAATTTTATTTTTTTTTTAAAAAAAAAAATTGGTTTCTTAGTTTACCCCGCTATTATAAAATGATGTCAAATTTCCTATAAAAAAGCCATCCACAGGCGGTCCTGGGATTTTACATAATGGAGATAGATACAATGGGTAGATATAAGTCTTATAGAAAACATACCCAATAAGTGCGGTAATCGTATAGACGATATAATTATCAAAATAAGCTAAATAGTAAAACATTTTTTTTTTAAAGATTATTGATTGTCCTTTTTTTTTAATTTATTAATTCAAATATCTGGACTTCGAATTTCAATGGATTTATTTTTCTATTTCCAAGGTTGAAACAAATTGATACCTTATATATAGTAAAAATTCATTGATATATAGGAAGTTTGTAAATCAAATGGAGAAAATTATCTCCTTCTATAATTAGAACTACGTCTTCCCATGCTTATCGTTATGGAAATTGGCTAATAAATCCGGAAATTGGTTTTTTCGTTTTACATTGCATAATTTTGCATACTTTTAATGCATAAAATAAATTTCTTTTTTTTTTTGTTTTTTGTATAGATCTTCATTGTTGCCATTCTTTTTTTTTTTTTTTTTTTGTAATACGTATATTTATTTTAATTATTGTTTTTCATATATGTACGGTATTTGTTTTCTACCATAAAATTTTATATTTAGGTTAAAGTATCGCTTAATCGTGAGGCCGGTGTTACCATTTATTTTTCTTATGGTTATTTATTTATTTATTTATTATCACCCTTTTTATTATTATTATTTACTCCTTATTTATTTACTTATTTAATTCTTTTCATTAATGTATTACATTAACATGCATTTTACTTATGTGTATGCTGGAAATACAAATTCCCCAAAAGTAAATATCTTGCTTTGGTCCTTAATGGGCAATGATAATCTTTAATCGAATTAGGATATTAATGATCTAAATTTTTTTGATTACGTACAATAATTAAATTATTCACTGCAATACAGATTTGAGATAATTGGTAAAATAAGAGTAGCCCTACTTCTACCCATATAATCGGAATTGAAATTAGGGTTAAGGTAGGGTTTACCTTTAATAAATAGTAGCTCTCTTACCTTGAACGGAGTGATAAAATCACAAAAGTGTATGGCTTACAAGAGAAAGAAATGGTGTGCGTTCACTAAATCTATTAGCCGATAGGTTAGTATAGTTGTTAGAGGTTTCGCTATTTAGTGATTTGACCCAAGAAAAAAAAAAAAAATCACAAATCGGTTAACCAAGCCGAATTATTTTTTCTCAACCATTAGGTAATTATTATGATTCGATGATTTTATTGCGCTTTGCAAAATTGTGACCCTCCATGATTAATCTTTTTATAAAATGATCGTGGTTGCGATTACGATTGCTAAAGCTGGCCAAATTTATCATAAATCTAAATCAGATTTATGATAAATTTGGCCTCTTTAACAATCGTGATCGCAACCACGATCAATTTATAAAAAAAACATTAATCACGGAGGGTCACAGAATTTTGCAAAACGTAATAATTCCACTGATTACAGGATTAATAAATTACTTGAAGAGTATAATGCTAGGTAATTGGGGTGTGCGATATCTTAGGATTTACAAATAAAATCTGTATAACGCATCGGATTTTTTGCCCGATCATCGTTTAGATAGTAATTTCAAATCTATATTGCTATTATTTCTAAACTAGTGAGTCTACAAAACTAAAATTATAAATTTTGGATTTCTCGTAATATTCTTTATAATAATTTAGGGTCATTTTTTATTTATTGCTTATTTTTTTCTTAAATTTAGCTCTTAAAGTTAAAAAATGGTTCTAGATTGTTGTAGTGTATATTAATAAAGTTTTAAAAAATTTTATGTTCTCAAAATACTATTAACTATGTTAAAAATTATGTTCTCAGAATGAGAACATAATTTTTATATATTATGTTCTCAAAAATATTTTTATGTTTTCGAGAACGTTGAGAACATCAGATTTCCAGCACTGCATGGGTGTCTAAATTATTTTGCCCTTGACGAAAATTTAAATGCTAAAATCATTTTAGACAGTCTAAACTGTAAATAATTTAGAGTATCGAAATTATTTTGGGGTGTCGTAAATATTTTAGGATGTAGTAAATATTTTAGGGTGCCGTAAATACTTTAGGATGTCGAAATATTTTAGAATGGCGAAATATAAAGAGTAATTTTTATATTACAGTAATAATAATCTTAATCTTATTAATAATTAATTATACATGAAGATGTCAATTTAATTAATTTCAATAAATCAAATATTTTCAGTGCAAAAATATTCCAAAATACGTACATAATGGTTAAGGCTTAAAGCTATGATTGACATAATAAAAAGTTTAACTTTTGTTGTTGTAATAATAAATCTTTGAATCTGAATATAATGAGTCATTGAATTCGAACATAATTAAACTTGTTTTTTAACATGACTGAAAAATCGAATTTATATAATTTACATTCAAATGCATCATCGTAAGCTAACACATATTCAGATGAAAATATGCCAATAGAAAAGGTATTTATCCTACATGTCACTTACTAGGCATCACATAAGGTGACAATTTGCTAAAAATATATACCTGCAACTAATCAAATGCTAAACCTAACCCTATGTGATGTCGGGTAAGTGACTTGTAGGGGAAATAACTTTTGAGGAATTGAGCGACAACCATTTTTTAGATAGCCGATATTTTACGGTATTATAGACAGTCGATATTATTTTAGACAACCGATAATATTATAGGCAGTCGATAATATTTTAGACAGCCGATATTATTTTAAACAGTTGATATTATTATCGACACATATAATTTGAAACACCATGGCGAAAATATTAAAAAAACTTCGCCATTCCGTCTGTCATAAATCATCCATAATTTAGACACCCATGTATAAATAGGACATCGCATACCCAATAGGCAATGGTAAATTAACGTTAGTAATTTTCTGATTTTAATTTCTACTGATCAATAAATCAATAAACAAAGCTTTTAAGTTTTTACACTGCCACATAAGTTAGTCAATGAGGCAGGCCTACTGAATAATTGATTGTAATTGCAATTATTTGACCTCAATTGAAATTTACAGACCAAAAAAAAAACAAAAAAAAAAAATCGTGATTTCTGATTTCCGATTTCATACATTTTTTCAGTTTGAATTATCATTTCATTTACCAATTCATCTAAAAACAAATCAACTTTAATTCGGATTAAAGAATGTAAAGTCTAATATTTGACAAAAAAATTATTAAAAAATAAAAAATATATAACGAATGTATAATAAATGAAAATTATCATTTAACATAGCGTTATAATGCCGTGTAACATGAAATCAAACCAACAAAAAGCGCAATTTTGAGGTTAGCGTTAGGATTTAGAGCCATATTAGGGTTAGAGCAGGGTTATCACAAGGAATTTTTTGTTAGAACGTAAAAGGCTGTTCTTTGAAAAAAATCGCAATTGTTTTTTCACGTTACACCTGATCCTGAAATCTAATTGGTCTATCAGGGTAGCCATTTTATATTTTAATTTTTCTATTTCAGGTTGGCTTCTTAGTTTCAACTTTTCATTCACTTTTTAATAATTATCTTTTTTTGTTTACTATACAATTCGCCCGCGAAGATCTTCACTAAAAGCAGAAGACATTTTAAAATAGTATATTAATAAATTATTAAATTTGAATTTATTATTACGTATTTTATCAAATTTATGTAACATTATAAAGGTCTAATCTAAAGGTCTAAAAAAAATGTTAAATAAACCGGAAATCAGAGCGATTTCTTTCTTTTTTTTTTTTTTTGATCTGCAACATATTCAATTAATTGCAATTTATCAAAATACGTATAAGTATATTTGTCCAAAATGTGTAATTACATACTGTCAGAGGCAAAATCGGTATATCAAAGAAAGAAGCAACCCGTGCCTCAAAGTAACCCACGAAGCCTAGAAACCGATCAAAGGATCCACATGCAAAATGGACCCGAATCGCATGTGAAGATCCCGAGGACCACTAATCAACAATTGCACGGTTAATCCCGAAAAGGCATTGTTGGATAATTAACCCGATTGTCAGATGTGGCTTAGAAATTACTGGGTTAAATTAACCATATCGGGATAAGTTCGTGGCCGTGTCTTAACGCCATGACAGGTTTATCATAAAAATAACGAAGTGAAACCTTCGTAGATTTCTTTTTTCTTTCTTTTGTCTCTTTTCTGTGTGTTCAAAAAAATTTATAAAATGAAAGTTTGAGAGAAAGTAATGTACAATCTGAATGATCATCAGATAATAATAAATAAATAAATAAAGAAAATATTTACCATTACCTAACGTTTTGCAACCGCCTTAACCGTGCCAAATCGTAATCCGCCTCTCTTTAAGTAGTGTCACGTTACGCTGCGTCTTGAATTCTGAAGCGACGCTGTCGCGCTATTTCTCTTGAGCGGAGGAAACGACGTAGCCACCGACTAGTGATGGGTAGTGATGGGCATGCGTGGGATCCGCGCGGAATCACGCGCGGATTACGCGCGTAAAATGCGCGTGATTTTTACAGCTGTTTTCATAAATTCTGGGACATCTGGCAAAAAATGGTCCGAACAAATATTGCCGGTTCGATAAGTTT